TTTTATTCCATTGATTCTCAACACTGCTTTCAGGGAAAGGTTTCCATAATGCAAATTTGATTTCGTTAGTCCTTGACCTGAAATATATCAATGGCGTCATTAAAGTCAGAGGTGAGATGAGAATTGCCACCACCACTACCACTTCTTGTACTTAATATGATTGCCAGCTCAAATAATCCAAGTATATCTACTTTAAACCCATTAAAAATAATGCGAGTTCAGTAAGGTCAGGAAAAATAAATATGCAAAAATAATACCCTACACTACTAGCAATCATCAGAAAACAAAATGAGAAAAAGTACTTTTACATGGCATCAGTGACACTGTGTGTGTGTGTGTGTGTGTGTGTGTGTAGGATTCATGGAGGAATAAAAATAAAAAATGGGTAAGAGTCTAGATGAAAATTATATAACTTACATAAGGGATCTTTTAAAAAGACTGGAATATGCTGGGAATATAGCTCAGTAGTAGAGTACTTTCCTAACAGGGGCAAGACCCTGTGTTCCATCCCAGCACCAAACCAAAACAAACAAAACAAAACAAAACAAAACCCACAAATTAAAACTGGAATAAATGGCCAAACATATCGTGTTACTGCAATAGAATAATTTTTTCTTCTTCTTTCTGTCAATTTTTAGGCCTTTGTCATCCAATACAGATACTACTGTATTTGCCTCCTAACTGATCTTTCTTTTTCTCAACTTCATGGTCAGCCACTCCTGTGATGCTTTTAAACCACTCTAACCATTCACCTCCTGCCATACTACATGTCAGAAACTGTCATGTCTTAGTATGTGGGTTATGGTCTGGTTTTCATTTACAAATCAGTGGTTAAATTGTCATTTTCATAATGTCATCTTTGCCTAGACACCTTCAAGGGTAGAATAACCTTCAGGTAGAGTCTGAACTTTTAATATTGCTTTCAAGATTCAGTACAATCTGTGTTCTTTCTAATTTTAGTTTTCATCATTGTATGTAATTCTCTGTTGCAAACCAATTACTTTTGATTATTTGTCAATTCTGTCTTTTTGTGAGTTTTCCTTGCTCTCCTCCACCTCTGCCTATCCAAAGTATTTTTGTCTTTAAGAATTCAGGGAGTGTTTTCTTCCTTCTCTTGTTTTCTCCATTTCTTTTATGCTTCTGTACATATTTTGAGTGTCAACTAAATATTCTGAATGCTAAGAGATATATTATGGATTAAAGTACATGATACATACGTACTAAATAAACTGAATAAATAAATGCAAAGGTTTTTTTGGTGTATTGGTCAACTCTCTCCTTACTTTTGTATAAATCCAGAAAAATTAACAAAATAAATCATATTCTCCCCTGTAGTCACTTTCTATTGTAACTGTTTGAGTAAGTAAAACATGTTTCTTTTGTTAGCCCAAAATCAATATACTGTAATGTAATGAGTCTGCCTTTTCAAAATTTGGAGTTGACAGTAGTGATTTTTTTCAGAAGGCATTCTTTCTAGGTACGTCTTTTTGCCTATTTCATTCTTTCTTGCTAAGGAGCCATATGTCATGTAAATAATTACAGTAGATTAAACAAGTTTCCCAGAGGCAAAAACAATTGTCCACAGAATTGAGAGAAAAAGAGTAATAATGATAAATAGGAAGTAGAAAACTTGTCAATAAAGCAAATCTTTTAATCTTTTGTTATTTTTATAGCCATATCAGATCATTTGAGATGAATTACCTTATCAGTGGCATGTGTAAACATTTTAATCAAATAAAGGGAATTGATAAAATTAGGATTTAAATTTGTTCTCTAAATTTCATATGTATTTTAAGTCTGGTATTTTCATTATAATGTTTCCTTCTCTAAAAGCTACCGTGACACATCTGTAATCTCAATGCTCAGGGAACTGAGGCAGGAGGACCTCAAATTTGAGGTCAGCCTGGTCTACATAGTGAGACCCTGTCTCCAAAACGGGGGGGAGCTTCATTTATAACCATTAGTATTGAAGATGTCCTATAACATTTCTTGATCCACCAATAAGTTCTAATTATACACTTTTTACTGAAAGCATTTGTTTCATTAATATTTTTGGCTATGTAGCATCTGTAATTTACCTATAGAAAAGGTTGAAATATTTAATATGGTTGCTCTCAAGTATCCCATTTACAATGATGTCATGATGTATGTGCCATAGTTGTATTTAGAAGTTAATAGGCTATATTGATAAATAATACATTCAAGAATGTTTCATTGTATGTTTGAAGGAAATTGACAGTTTAGTGGAATTACAAGTAATTCTTATTTCTTATTAATAAGTTTATTCTTAAGACTTAAAAATCTTTTTTACTGTATAAAAGTTAAAATGAGATCGTTAAAAATATATCTTATATGAAGGCTAACCCTGTAAGGTTTTTACTTTCCTGGGAGATGGCAGCTTTTAAAAATAGATAATGAAGATTGATTCTCTGTTCGTATTTCATATTAAGTAAAGCAATTAAGACATTTTATAAAATCATTTTTTTCCTAAAATGTTGATAATTTTAACTGCGTCCTGATGAGGTTTGCGTAGTGGTGTCAGGTTAAAGGAAATTCAGAAGAGCTCAGGAGTGAATGTATCACAGTGGCATCTTCTGGGACAAGGAATATGTTTTCCATTTGAGGAGCCTAGAGCTCCTCCCTTTTGGTGTCTGCAGGCACTCACACTGTTAGGGAAGAGGCTCAGAGAGATACGTATGCCTTGGCAGCCAGCCTTCAGGAAACCCTAGAGCACATTCAGAAAAAAAGCCTGCTATCAAAAGTTAAGCACTGCATCAGTGCTGTTAGAAAGCAGTTTAATGGCGTGAAGCTGGAACTTGCAGTTCTTCATTCACTCTTATTTATGCCACTGCCCAGACCCTTCCGCCTTTTGCAAGGTGCCCCTGTCCCACAAACGGCAAATGCTCTCGGACTACAGCGCATTCCTCCTTTAAACCTCAGCTCAGTTAACATTTCTTCCTGGAAGCATCCACTGTCCTCAAATTTGGTTACCGAGGCCCCTTTGCTATTTTTAGCAGGCCTCATAGAGCTCTGTCCTGTACTCATACCCCTGCATTACAGGTGTGTCTTCCTCATCCTCCTTTCTCTGGGCTCAGGAGCTGTGGGGCAGAGACCAGGATGATTGTGTTTATTGTGTAGCCTCGGTATACTTCTGACACATTGGAGGCTCTCAATAAATATTGGTTAATAAATGGATGAATATGTGGATGGATTATGTTTTAGATATGTTTGCAATGCAGAGGAATATTTTTCAAACAGCCCCTAGGACATAAAAGAAAGCTCCCTGTGAAACTTCTCTAAATAATATTCATTACCCTGAAAAATCCCTTATATCTCCCATATCCCACAGAAACTTGTTGTTTTTACCCAAATCTCTGACCTCATGTCTGATTAAGTGAGCTTGACCATGTGAGAGTTTCCCTGTACTTAACACAGTCTTGGGAGGAGGGAAACCATAGTTCATACATGGATTCACTCATTCATTCAACAAGCATCTATTAAAAGCTTACTGTGTATCAAACACAAGGAATACACATTTACAAATTTGATCAAGATACACTTTCTGATTCTAAAAAAACCAAAAAAACAAACACTATGTAGCTTAGTTGCCAGCAGTGTTTACATCCATGTCTGAATGTTGTTAGAAAACAGAAACTTGTTACCGAGCATGCTTCCGTCTTCTCCTAGCTGTCATAAAGCAGAAGCCTACATTATGGTGATGCACTCAGCTCCATCTCAAAGCTTTTGCTCCATTTTTCGATTTAGGATATACTGGTTTTTGTTAGTTTATTTTTTTTTAATCTTGATTTGGCTCTGTGAGTTAATCTGTAATCTACCTCAGCCAGTCTAGAATTTGACAATAAAAATCTCAAGCAAAGTAAATGAACATATTTTATTAAGCATAATTTAAGTAATTAATATAATTTTTTCATGTCTTTTAAGTAGAAATTCTGGGTCTGGCTTTATGTAGACTGGACCAGGAAAGTGCACAGGCTCTTGGTTTAGGAGTACTTGAGGGAGGGCTATGTGAAGTAGTTCAGTCATGCTCCTCTTAGTCCTCCTCCCAATTCTCTATCTTCGTACCACATAGCAACATACCAGATGTGAAACTTAGATTTTAAATAAAAATATGACACAAGGTGTTTTCCATGACGTAGGAGCTTATTAATCTCTTTTTTATCCTTACAAAAAGGAGAATTCTTACTTAAGAAGATTGTTTTAATCCTGCCAAATTTTGAATTTCCTATAGTCAACAGAAAATTTTGGCATATGAAATACCCCCAAGGAATTCCATCTTAGTTCACATGACAGAAACCCAGTTAAGGAAACTGATGTGCTTTCTGCTCTAAATCTAAGATTCTCAATTCTAGCTGCATATTAGTTTTCTAGGTGATTATAACATACAACTGGAGAATGCCCTGGATTAATGTTGAGTTTGGGGATGGAGAATCTAAAGATAATTATGGATTCTCTCTCCCCTCCTCCAAAAATGTATGTACACACAAAATGTTGCATTTGTGGACTTTCTGAAGCCCATCTATGGACCTTGCTTTAAAGACCAAGGATGTTGATTAGTCCTAAGTGATGCCACTGATGCTGATCCCATTTTGAGAACCAGGGCTAGAAGGACAGGACCAGTCATCTTCACCTCCAGGTGATTCTGATGTACGTTAAAACTTGAGGACCACTGCCTCATGGAAATACTTCTAGGAAACCAATTTTTTAGAATTTTTATTTTTATTTATTTTCTTTTTAAATTTTATTTATTTATTTATTTATTTATTTATTTTAGGAAACCAATTTAGTAGTATGCTTTTGGCCTATTTGAGGATTGAATCTTTAAAAAAAAAATATTTTATTTTTTGTTAAATCACTCTTTTTGGCATTGGATGATTTTTTTTTTTTAGTAGAAGTATGTGTTTCTCTTATAGTCCAAGTACTAGGAAAAACTGTTAAAACTGGAAAATTGATTATGTCATCTGTTTTATGTTATCATTTGTCTTTAATTTCATGCCCAATTTTAGACATTATTCTCAGCCTCTTTTTTAGCATAACTACCCCTTCTCTCCACTTCATAATGTTCCTTAAATGAAATGACTTTACTGTTAACTTATGGTGTTACATCCTATAAGGAACAAGAATTGTCATGTTCCATAGAAATAATAGTTACCCTGTGGAGGCAAATAAAGCTGTATCCCTGTGTGTGGCCATTAAAGGATCATTTTCAAAATGGTGATCGTGATTTTCGTAGCAGTATATGAACATGTATCAAAGGTTTTATTGAACTTATTTATGTAACATGTGTAAGATATTACAACTAGCTCAAAGAAACCAAAGTTCAGATACATATAGGTGTCCACCGAGTGCTGAAATAAATTCAGTAGTAGGAGCAAAACTGGTGCATATCCACAGGACAGTAAAATTTGAGATTTGGAGTCATCTCTCAGTGATCAGTTGCATTTCCACAGAACAACATTCATTGCAGTTTCTACGAATTAGAATAATTTGTATCGTGAACAGTTTTCTATAATTCACAGAATCATAAATATGATCTAGTCAAAGACATTGATAAACACAGGCCATAGAATCAGGCAACCCAGAACTGCTAATAATGGTAAGAACTACCATTATTCCACTGAAAGGACACCAAATAATCTTTTGCTGGTCTCGGTCTTTTCCCAATTGTTTCTCACAGCAAATTAATGGCCAAAGAGGTGAGTCCTTATGCAGGGGACTGAAACTGAGGTCAAAGATTATTAAGTGGATGGAAAAGGAGATATTTCATTGCCTTTCTCATCCTCTACTCAGTTTGTCCTCAAAGGCTTCTGCCTGTCCAAGAATGCATTCCTGGGAATGGGAGGAAGCAGGATGGGAGCTAGGGAAGATTCCTTTGACCACCGGAAGGCTGAGTGGACTCATCCTGTGAGGCATATTATTTATTCTCATGCCTTTTGTCTTGTCTTTTTGCTAATACTTTTTATCTTAGTAAAGTCTTTTTAATGTTTGTCAGTCAGCTCTTATTTTTAGCAGTCTTTTAAAAATGTCTTTGAGGCTGACCACTGATGGGTACTATGGGACCTTAAGAGGGCCCTGCACTGACACTCGGGCCTAGAATTAAAGGGCCAGCGGTGCTGCGAGAGGCCTGTGGGTGCTGATGGTAATTAATGAGAGGCTGCCCCCAGGGATCATGTGGTATAATCCTTTTTCCTTACCGGGAAGTCTCTATAGTGCCAGCCTGAGAGAATCTGGGGCCTCTTTCTCAGTGTAGTAAAGTGCATGTTTAAAAACCTTTCTGCTTGTTAAGCATATTTAAATTTGTATAACTAGTTGGAATTTAATTAATTAATAGAGAAATGCCATTATTTGCATTAATTTGAATCAATTTATAATTCTGTATATCTTGGTTGTAGATCTTTCATGTATTATCAAGTATTGATTTATGAGCATTTGCTGATTCAGTGGCTTTGACATTTGTTAGTTATTATAAGTCCTAAATAAATAAGAAAACGGATTGAAGAGTGTTTAATAGGAATTCAGAACCATAATTTATAGGTACTTTGCATGAGAGGCCTAAGTCTTACTTCTCTGCTTCTCTCCTCTACAGTAGATGACACTACATTCTGAAAGATCCAACACTTGAAAACATACACATGCACGAGTCGGGAAAATCAACATGATGGCACTGTGTCTCATGCTATAAAAACTTATATCTGCAGGATCAGGCAAATAATGATGGACAGGTTGCCTTTTACAAGGGATTGTTTCTAGGGGAGACACTAAGCAGGTGCAAGGACTGGTTCCAGCCCAACTACTCCAGTGCCTGTTCCATAGTTGGTGAAGTCATTGTGCATGGCCTGTGAAAAATCCTGTGTCCCTTCTCTGAGAGCCTTTAGAGGGCTTTCCACACTTGGTTTGGAATGAGCCCCTTTGTGGTGGCAAGAGCTGCACTTTTCTTTCTCCCTACCCCCACATAACCAGCTTACATTTTCTGACATTTATTCAAATCTTTTTAGATACTGTCTTAGTTACCTTTCTCATGAGTGAAACAAAATACCCGACACCCAGAGTTAAAGGAGGAAAGGTTTATTTGGCTCACAGTTTGTAGAGGTTTCAGTCCACAGTTAGCTGGCTCCATGGCAGGGTGGCATGGCAGAGGAGAAATGGTCCATGGCAGCCAGGCAGGTAACAGCACTTTAGGCTCTTTCTGTCCCTCGTATTTTATGCAGGCTATTCACCCCAAGGCAAGTGTAGCACTCACACCCTCAATTCTAGCCAGAACTACGCCAGACCAATCAGTGGACTGATTTAGTAGTCAATCTTGATCCCAGCACCACACATTCTAGATCCAGCCCCCTCTGAAAAGCCCCCCACCCCCATGACTCCATGAGGCTTTGGTAGGACATCTAGGCACAGCCATAACATTCTGCCCTTGGCCCCCAGACTCATGCACGTCCCTTTATGCAAAAGGCATTTAGTCCATCTCCGAGAGTTGCCAAAGTCCTAACAGTTTCAGCACTGTTGAAAAGTCCAGGTCCAAAGTCTCCTCTGAGGTTTAAGGCAAACTCTTAACTGCAAGCCCCTGTACAAACGAAAAGGTTAAACACTTCCAACGTTGAATGGCACAAGATAAACATTTCCATTCCAAAAGGTACAAATAGGGGGATAACAAGGAAGGGACCAAAGCAAGACCAAAATCCAGCAGGGCAAACATTAAGTCCTGTAGTTCCATGTCCAGCATCCAAGGCAATCTGTTGCAAGATGTGAACTCCAAAGGGCTTCAGTGGCTCCATCCCCACCCAGCGGTTGTAGTTCCCACAGCTTCTCTCTTAGGCTGGCTCTGCTCCCTCCTTGCAGTTTTCCTCAGATAATCCACATTCCTGGCTTCTCCAAACTTCCACTGTATGTTTGGCTCCACTGCACGTTTGGCTCCACATTCATAGCTTCACACACTGCCCTCTTAGGGGCACCCTGCCTGAAATCTTAGGGGCATCTTCTGAAATCTGGGTGGAAGCCTTCCTGACCTCACAACTCTTGCATTCTGCATGCACCTAAAACCAGCACCATGTGGATGATGCAAGATCTGCTACCAGCTGGAGCAGTAGCCAGGCTTCCTTCTCTCTTGGCTGTATGGGTCGAGTACCTGGATCGCTGAACACTCTGAACTCAATCCCAAGGAACAAATTCTCTAGGCTGTTGCCATTCTGAAACATGGTGCTCTGGAGCTCTTTTCTCAAAGCAAAGTCTTTCACCTTTGAAACTCTGAAGCTACAAAGGGTGGAGTCCTGCTGTTTCTTGTGTTATCCCTGGCCTATCTTTTTTGTTGTGTTCTTCTGAAATACTTGGCTTTTTCTTCCTAATCTTTTCAATGACAAATTTCTCCTCTGCTTCATCAGGCCTCAGCTTTACTGGAGCTTCCTTTCTGAACAAATTGACAGTCTTGAATCATTGTGCTGAGCTCTTTGCTCTTGATTCTCAACATAAATCTGGCTAAAAGCATCCGAGAGTAGCTATGCCTCTGCCTTAAAATTAGACTGTCTTAAAATTTCTTCTACAAGATTAAACTGCCACCCTTAATCTCAGTCTCAGTCAAAGGCTCTGGACATGAGCAAAATACAGGTAAACTTTCTACCACTGCTTAACACACATGTTCTGGAGTCCAACAGCCAACGTAGCCCTTCCCAGCAGAAACCTGAGCTTGGTTCTTACTGGCATCATTTCTATCAGCATTTTTGTCTTCTGAGCTCTGACTATAATCTCCTATCAAGTACAGCCTAAAGCTTTTCAGGGCTACTTTTTCAGCTCGCATCTCTTAGCCTTTCCAAACTCTTCCCACAAGCCAGCTCTAAAGTCCCCTGAACCACATCATCAGGTATAGTCACAGCAACAACCCCACTTCTCTGGTATCAAATTCTGTCTTAGTTACTTTTCTAGTTGCTGAGACAAAATACTTGACACCTAGAGTTAAAGGAGGAAAGGTTTATTTGGCGCACAGTTTGTAGAGGTTTCAGTCCATAATCAGCTGGCTCTAAGATAAGGCAGCATGGCAGAGGGGCATCACAGAAGAGAAACAGTCCACAGCAAGCAGGCAGGTGAGAGCACATTAGGCCTCTTTCTGTCCCTTATATTTTATGCAGGCTACCCACCCTAGGGCAGGTGTAGAACATACTCCCTTAATCCTAGCCAGAACTATGCCAAACCAATGAGTGGACTGATACACACTCTAGATGCAGCCACCTCTGAAAGCCCCTGCCATGACTCTGCGAGACTTTGGGGGGACAGCCAGACATAAGCCATAACATATACTATACTCAAGATGCTATATTTCTCTCTCCCCACTTTTCTACCATCACAGCAATTTAAAATTATCCACTGATTAAAAAGTCTTAGTTCATGGTCTAGTAGTACATTTTTTCAACATTTAGCTCAAAGGGTAGGGAATTACCTAGCTCTCCAGTGATAGATGAAATCCTTGTAGGCAACTTCAGTCCACTAGAAACAATCCCTGAAGGGTATCTTGAAAAGGGAAAATAGACCATTTATCAAAAACGGATCCTGGTTTTTCCTACATAAAAGAGTGATATACACACCAAACGACTTAAATTTTTGCTGCCAGTTTTGAATTTTTATGCATCTAAATGTGTTTCTTACTTTGTTTTGGTTTTGTAGGTGGCTGACTGTTCTTGGGATGAAACAATAAAGATATATGATCCTACTTGTCTTACTGTTATTCCTGCTTGAGATCTACTCCTCTGCTCAGAAACAAGGATGTTGGCTGAAGAATTACTTACAAGCCAATAAATCCACTGTTGAAAAAGTAGTCATTATGCTTTTATATGCTATTAAGATTTCAAATTCTTCAGATTTACCCTGGAATCAGTTTTGAGGCAGCTGATAATAAAGACTTTGGCTCATTCTGTAAGCCCGGTACATAAGCCATATTTCTTAAAATCCTAAGACATAATTGATATTTTGGTGTATCTTCTACCTATTAAAATATAATCTCTGTATTGTATAATGGATTAACATATGAGAGACTATATGGAGAGTCATATGTTTCATTTTTGTCCTTTTTATGTAAAATTTCATCACTACTGTTGATAAAAATTAAATAAACTGCATGTCTTGAATGTATATTGTTTTATGACAGCCCCAATAAGACTGCACTTTAAATATATATATATATATGAATATAATAGTGTGTGTCATGTGGATGTAGTTGTGGCTCACATACGGGCTCTAACATAGATTTAATTTATTCAGTAGTTATTTATTGAGCATCTGTTATGTGCCCAACACATAACTGAATGAGAGTCTCTTCTGAACTGGTGCCATGCTCTAAAAACATAAAATGCTGTGGGTTGAGATCTTCCTGGGTTTTGTTTTTAACATTTACTCAACTCTTTTAGATATTATACACATGTGTCTATTTCTCCCTTCCCATTTCTCTATCAAAAATTTTTTAATTTGTCCTCTAAGCAAAAAGTCTTAGGTCCTATTAAAGGCTTCTAGGAACATCCATGAAACTATTCCTAAGTAATGCTATAAACCCTTCTTGCCACCTCTTTCAATCCATTTGAAAAATTCGTAGATACTAAAAACTGGGGGGAAAAAGTAGTTTAAAAGGAAATTATTAAAATAAATTACTTTGTATAATGTTTTATATAATATTAAAATGTGTGATAAATGGCAGAAATTCTAATTAAATTCTTAAATTTTAAGAATTTTTAAAGAACAAGATATTTGTAATAATCAGCAAAAATAAACTAAAAATATATTTTTATTGTCTTATTTACATATTTTTTATTTGTTCCAGAAAAAAATTAAGACAATTTAAGATACCCAAACAAGCATAAATTCAAAGGTGGAACAAAAGCCATGAAGTAGAACATGGAGTGGGGCTTGAAAATATAGACCTCAGCATTCAGTGAGGTTGCCACTGACTGGGCCAAAGATGTGTGCCCAAGGCTTCTAGCCTCACACGAGTGGTCAGTCACACAATCCCTGAGGGCAGGGACTGTCCTAACCCCAGGCCTGGCACATGCCAAGAAGATGCCAATACATATTTGTTGAATGAATGAATGAATGATCTCTGGGAACATACATACAGCCCATTTGATTCTTACATCAGTAATACCAATATTCAAGTGGACCCCACTTAACACAAGTGGATTGTAATGAATGAAGTGTTCAGGCTCATCCTTAGAGTTGGCACAGGATGAGTCTCTTGGAGCCTTTCCTTGTTGCTTCCCTTCGCGTGAACTAAAGGCATCGCGCCAAAGTGTGGCTCAACACAGCAGGTCCACAGTACGTATGCTCTATCAGAAGTTATAAGGACCTTGAAAAAATACCTAACTCAGATCGTATTTACAATGCAATAAAATTCTTTTCCCTATAGAATGCAAGAGATTATCCTGATAAAATAATTTACTATGTATCTTTTGAAACAAAAATTGTTCATTTAAAAACTAACATCTCCCTCGATTCATTTCCCCCTCTATTTTAGGGAGTTAGAGATGGTTAGAACCCTGACTTCATAATCTATGACTCAGGTTTTTGGGACCTGCTAGTATGAAAGAGTGTGGCTGGATACTTACTTCCCCAGCTCGTTCCCTGGAGCTAGTATTGAAAAGCGAGGAACAGAGGTGGATTCTCTCCTGAAAGAGAATGTGCATGATTTTTGAATTCTTGGTAGCTCATGAGCTGGGCCACTTCTGGACAGCCAGTCTTTCCTTCCAGGTGAGAAGGTCAGCCTTGATCTCCTCTCTGGCCCAGAGCTGCATGGACCTGCAGTGATGCGGCAGCACTTGAGTGGAAGGGAGCTCCCAGCCACCCATCTGAGGTCTGGGCATTCTCTGAGATGCTTTGCATGTGTTACCTTTCAGTCTTTAAAACCTCCCTGCAAAGGAGCCCTCCTGGTTGTCTAAACAAAGAAGGCAAAAGAGCCAGGAAGTAATGAGTCTGGATTTGAAGTCTGCAGTGACTGAATCTAAGCTCTTGGTGCTGCCACTGTGGCTTGCTTAGGAATAACAGAAACTGGCTCCCTGAGAAACAGTCAAGATATAGATCTCTCTGGTGACCAGATCCTGATCATTCCTGAGAGAACTGACAAAAAATCCAGTTTCCAAGTCTGAAGACCTAAAAATCTGAGCCCAAGTCTGAGTGACCCTATTAAGTCCATTGGTCCCTGGGAGATCCAGGCCGAGAGCCAGCTATCCTTTCTGCCTTTGGTGCTTGTTAACTGAGCTCTTCCAAAAATGAGCTCTTATTAATTTCTTACTTAACAGGCCTCTCCTTGGATGTGCTGATCAACTTAACAAGGTTTTACACACACACACACATACACACACACACACACACACACTACTGAATACCTCCTGCTGTCCCCACCTAGATCTCCCACAAGGTTTTGCACTTGTTTTGTTCCACCCAAATGTACCTTGCCTATTAAATCAGTTCCTCCTCCTACACGTCTTTTCACTTGTTAATAATCTAAAGCCAAGCTAAATACACGTTGAGGCCAAGCTGAAGACCAACGCACCAATCTCTTCTTTCCCCGTTTCCCACCCCTTTGCTCCAAGCACATTGAAACTCCTATCTTTTTTACTCTCAATATTTCTCCATTTTTGTCTCTTCCCCTCAACCTACCCGCTGCCACAGTTCACGCCATCATTAGCTTTTCTCTGGACAATTGCAGCTTCTTAAATGGCGTGTCTGTTTCCAGTCCTGTGCCCTGAGAGCCATCCTGCTAGACACAGCTGCCGGAGACTGATCTAAATTGCAATCTGATTATCCCAATTTCAGTGTAAAAACCTCTCTTTGCTTGTGAGATCGCCTACAGGAAGAAGTTCTGGCTCACTAAACCGGCTCTGAGGTCTTCTGGGCTAGTCCTGCCTCTCTCTGCGCACTCTTCTTCAAGGTCAACAAGCGCATGCTCACAAGTTCCCCATGGAAATCACACAAGTTTTCTTCTCTTTGTCCAAGCTCATCTGTGTGTCTCAAGTGGCCTGTATTGTCTTTGCAAATTCTTACCCACCATTTAAAAATTACAGTGTGTGAAATGGCTAAAGAGAAAGGCCAGCGACATTAAAATAGCAAAGTTAGGGCCGGGGATTTAGCTCAGTGGTTTCGCCGTCTTCTGCGCAAGCGCAAAGACTGGAGTTCGAGCCCTGGTACCAAAATAAAATAGCAAAGTTAGTGGAGAGAGGATATAATAGAAAAATATATGAGCAACATATAACAAATGGTTAATATCTAGAATTTATAAAGACTCAAAATCACTATGACAACCAAACACAAAAGTGGACAAAGGATATCAATAGACATTTCACTGATGTAGAAAGGCAGATGTTTAATACAGTTCAAAACGGTTTAGTCAGACTGTCTCATCGATGACAAAGAAATGCAGATTAAAACGAGATCCCCCTTTCTTTGCATGTCAGTTTGGCAAATATTTAAAATATTAATAATATCCAATATTGTTTAATATGAGAGCAGTGTTACATTTTTAATAGACAATTTGGCAATAAATCAAGAATTTAAGATACCTTTGACCCAGCAGTTACACTTACAAGATCTTGAAATACCTGAAGTATGTGTCTGAACAGATATTGAAGGACATGCATTACATCACGATTGGTAAATCTTCAATGCCTGTCTACAGGAGAAAAGTGATGTTATAGAACAGTCATTTGAAAGAATAAATGATGTACTGACATGGAAAAGTAGATTAATGTATCAGTTACCTATTTCTATGTAACAAGTCTCCTCAAAACTTTGTATAAAACAACTTGTATTTATGATTTCACAGTTTCTATAGGTCAGGAATCCAGCAATAGCTTAGCTGAGTTGTTCTGGCTGATCTTCTCCTGACATTTAAACTGTCACCTCACCTCTGTCTAGCAGGTCAGCTTCCCAGGTCTTTCACATGGCTGTGAGCAAGCCTCAAGTACTCGCCATGCTGGGGCCTGGCGTTTGATTCCCCCCAGACCAAATGATGGAAGAGAAAGAAAATCCAAGATGAAAGCTTCAATCTTTTACACACAAACCTCAGCAGTGAGCTGCGCCTACTTCCGCCATCTTCTGTTGGTCACGAAGACCATGCTAGTTCAATGTGGGAGAAGTTGACAAGGCTGTAAATATGAGGAGGCAATAGATCGTTAGAGACTATCTTGAAAGCTGATTACCATGATATGATTTTTAAAATAGCAAATTCTAGACACATGGATGATATCCCAATTTTGCTATTTTTAAAAAGGGGGATATATATATATATATTTATTATTTGAGTTTTGGTGCTGAGAATCAAACCCAGGGCCTTAAACTCTACTCATTAGTTATAAAATTTGTTTTCCTCTTACATATTACAATGAGCATGTTACTTTCAAAATAAAAAATAACGACATAAGTCAAATTTTGAAAAAATGTTTTTTCTTTCTCTGCTTCTTCAATCAAACTGATTCAATTACCCTCGGGGCGCTCCCTCTTTTCCTTCTGGAAGGCTTCCCTGCTGCATTAGCTGCATTGTGTTGCCTCCCAGCTACCTGTGAATCCCTAAGGACTAACTGAGTGCTCCTCTTTCAATTCTCCCTGGCTTAACAGCCTACCTAGAACAAAATACTTGCTCTGTATGTTTGTTGAATGAATGAACTGATTGATTTAATGCCACTAATATTTATTGAGTAGCTCTAGAGATAAAGAGCTTTTGTCTAGACCCTTGATACCTTGGCCAGTTGGCCAAATAGCTATTTGACTTCAGATCCACATTCTTGTTCAATTAACCTTGCTGAACATAGTATTGTTATTTTTTTCCCACTCTTCTTCAAGAGTTTATCTAGTAACTGATTTTGTGGAAAGTGGGATTAAAGTTTTTCTTTTTTTTTTTAGAGCCCTAATAAAGAACCTATGCAATAAAATGAAGAAAATGTGCTGTTTCATGCTGCTGTAGGTTTCAGATATTAAGCTAAACAGTCTTGCCTAAATGAAATGGGTAAGGTAGTTCAATCAGCCCCCAGTCTTCTACCTAATGTTATTACCACAAATGGAAGCAGTTCTGATCGCTGGAAGAAATGAATCATCTGCAAACGAGGTCTACACAGCCACTTCATAATTATATTCACTTAGGATATTTAGGCAGCCATTCTTTAATTGATCTCTAGCAACAGAAATCTGCTATTTGCTGATGTCTTTTATCTGTCTATATCTTGAGTAAATACTTACCACACACATACACATAATTTAAACTGCTGCTTCAGACTTATTTCCTAGAGAAATAACACCCGCTCTTGAGCAGAGTTCCTTAAATAGCCAGTAGTGTGTAACCACAACTTTTAGCAATAAAAACCAAGAGCTCCCTGGGGAACCGGAAGCCACATATTTTTATTGTAACGCTGTCCAGTGTTATTCCTGGAAAGTTAGCATCATGGGTCACTGACAAACATTTTCCTGAGTGTCCACCTGTGGCGGACAAGAAAGTGGCTGTACTAGGCGCTGGGCACACGGGCAAGTGGACTGCTTGAGACCGATCTCTCTTTCACCAAAGTGAGCACCTACAACAACAACAACAACAACAACAACAACAACAAGCTGGCTCAGGCGAAGGAAAACAGTGATATTGTGAGCCCTGTTGTAATTTTTTTTCCCTCTGAAACTTCAACATCTGGGCTGGAGTGCTGAGTTCAGCCCTGAGGTGGAAAGTAGAAAGTAGAATGGGGGAGAAATGGATCGGGCCACTCAAAGCAAGGTGGTGCAGCCTTTAAGTTTCAGAGGTTGCTTCTCCCGTTGGTGGCTGAGAATAGTGACCCGAGCCAGCAACCGAAAGGGGTGGAGCGCAGGATTTCGAACCCTCTTCCTGGAGCCTGAACCCTGGCAAGGCCACAAATCTCAAGTAGCGAGAATACTAAACCGTGCCTGGCTCTTAGCGAGGACCTCGGCTGAGGGAGCCGCTCTGCTGCTGAGTTCACTACCGGTCCGGGCGCTACTTCCCAGGGCACTGAATTAATAGCAAAGTCACTAAAGTTTGCCACCTGAGGGGGGGGGGATCTCTTTTTATCTCAAGCCTCCTGGAAGGACACTGTTCACAAGTCCTGCGGGGGCGAAGGCGAACCCCGGCCGGGGGAGGTAAAATCCACTCTCTTGTCCTCCCCTTGCTCCCCAAAGCGGCCCGCGACTGGCCCAAAAGTTGGGACTGTTCGCCGGATCTAACGGAGCGACAAGGAGCCTCGGGGCAGGGCGGAGGGCCCTGGGTTCCTGCCAATCCACTCAACCCCTGTTAACAGCGCACCTAACACCTCCTCACTACCATTCAGGCAGCGTTGTCTCCAGGCTCCTCCAGAGTTCATAGCGGCTACTTGCACTAGAGACTTCGTTTCCACTTTTTTTTTTTTTTTAACATCCTAGCCTCACTTGAGGGTGTGCCCCCAGCCCCCGGATTTGCCAGCGGAAGCTCCCGCAGAGCAGCGCGCTTTCCCCCAAGACCCTCCCGGAAGGGGCGCACACCCGGGTGCGCAGTGCCTGGCGCCGGAGCGGGCCACCCCCGGGCTCCGGAGCCCGCCCCAGCCGCGGGTCCTTTAAATGTGGCCGGGTGGGCGCCCCATCTTGAGTTACTAGGGGCTCCGCCGCCCGGTAGCACCGATGGGTTTTGCTCCCCGCTGCCGCGCTGGGCGAGACTGGGGGGTGGAAAATTCGTTGCAGCACACGGGCAAGGGGCCTGGGGGCGCCCTCACTTGTTGCGACCAATAAGCGGTGCTCGATCCCCGGGCGCTGTTGTGCCTAAAATCGTCTTTAGCTGTGCTTGGGATCCCCTCGACCCGCGCCTCCCGGCTCGGCGGTGGCGGGAGGACGGCAGGAGCCGGCCCGGTGGGCTCTGGGGACCCGAGGGGCGCGGGCCCGTCCCGCCCTCTGGCAGCCGCCCCGCTTCCCTCCGCGCAGCGTCTTCCCCGTGCCCCCGACACGACACACCGCGGCTCGTCACCTACTCGCACTTAGCTGTCGCTAGGATTCCCGCCACTCCTCTCACCCCGGGCCCCCCCCGCCACTTTTCGGAGTCCCCCGCCCCCGCCCCTGCCTCCCCGGAGCTGCTGCGGGGCAGTCGGACGCGGAGCCGCCTCGCGCGAGGACGCCCGGCTGGAGCTGCCTTTCGCCGCGGCGCCGGGCGGGCTCCCCCGCCGCCCTCGGTCCTCTCCGCGCCCCTCGCGCGGGTCCCCGAGCTCTGCCGCTGCCGGGTGCGCTGGGGCCGGCGCGATGCGGCAGCTGTGCCGCGGCCGCGCGCTGGGCATCTCGGTGGCCATCGCGCACGGGGTCTTCTCGGGCTCCCTCAACATCCTGCTCAAGTTCCTCATCAGCCGCTACCAGTTCACCTTCCTGACCCTGGTGCAGTGCCTGACCAGCTCCACCGCGGCGCTGAGCCTGGAGCTGCTGCGGCGCCTCGGGCTCGTAGCTGTGCCCCCCTTCAGCCTGAGCCTGGCGCGCTCCTTCGCGGGGGTCGCGGTGCTCTCCACGCTGCAGTCCAGCCTCACACTCTGGTCCCTGCGCGGCCTCAGCCTGCCCATGTACGTGGTCTTCAAGCGTTGCCTGCCCCTGGTCACCATGCTCATCGGCGTCCTGGTGCTCAAGAACGGCGCGCCCTCGCCCGGGGTGCTCGCGGCCGTGCTCATCACCACCTGCGGCGCCGCCCTGGCAGGTGAGAGGGCCCCGTGCCGGCCCCCGCCCCACCCCACCGGCGGAGGCCGCGGGGGTCGCTCGGAGCAGCGCCCGCGCTCTCAGATGGGGACACTGAGGCAGGTAGAGGCGGAGAGCGTAGAAGCGGCCGTTTGGCTCGCAAAAGGGACTTTGCCCTGAGACCCAGCGGAGCCCTCCCCAGTGCTCCGACCGGCTCCCTCAGGGCCCCCCACCGAGTAACCAGGCTTCCGACCCCCGCCCCTGTCTGTCCGCCGTGCACTGCCCTTCCCGCCGCCCCACCCGGGCTTCCGCGCTCAGCCCCTTCCTCGGCGAGCAGAGCCCGAGTCTAGCCCCGGACTGAGCCGGAAGGGGGGGCCGAGAACTTCCTCACATCACAAGGGGCTGCCATGGGGGAGGGACGGGGATGAAGCTCGGGCTCCCAAGGCAGTTTGGGGTGCCTGGAGGCATTTGGGGGACTGCGGGCTCGAGGCGGAGGGGGTTGGGGGATACAGGAGCCGGCTAGGGCTGTGGGTTCTGGGGATCCCGGCCCTGGCCTGGAGGAGAGGGGTGGAGGCCACCTTCGCCACGCAATGGCCCGCGTGGGATGAGGAGCCACCAACCAGACTCCCCCTCCCTTCCGATGCTCCAGGGGGCGCCGGCCCAGGGGAGCCAGAGAGCCCACCCCGAGAGCATCTGCGACCTCCACGGCCTCTGACAGGAGCAGAGGAGGACGGGTGACCCGGGACATGTCAGGAAGGGACCGCTCCGTGTGCATCGCGTTGTGCATGACTGAGCTTGGCTGTGGCATTGTGCACGGTGGTCGAGGCACGGTGGGCTTCCCCAGTGGGCAGAGCCGGGGTGCCAACCGCGTCTACTTCCCAACTCCGCGCGTGGCCGCAGCGGGAACCCACCCGCGCCAACCCGGTGTCTTCTCTCTCTTTCCTTCCCACGCTGCGCCCCAGGAGCCGGCGACCTGACCGGCGACCCCCTGGGGTACGTCACGGGCGTGCTGGCGGTGCTGGTGCACGCCGCCTACCTGGTGCTCATCCAGAAGGCGAGCGCAGACACGGAGCACGGGCCGCTCACCGCGCAGTATGTCATCGCCATCTCCGCTACCCCGCTGCTGGTCGTCTGCTCCTTCGCCAGCACGGACTCCATCCACGCCTGGACCTTCTCGGGCTGGAAGGATCCGGCCATGGTCTGCATTTTTGTGGCCTGCATCCTGATCGGCTGCGCCATGAACTTCACCACCCTGCACTGTACCTACATTAACTCGGCGGTGACCACCAGCTTCGTGGGCGTGGTGAAGAGCATTGCCACCATCACAGTGGGTATGGTGGCCTTCAGCGACGTGGAGCCCACCTCTCTGTTCATTGCCGGAGTCGTGGTGAACACCTTGGGCTCCATCATTTACTGTGTGGCCAAATTCGTGGAGACCAGAAGGCAGAGCAACTATGAGGACCTGGAGTCGCAGCCCCAGGGAGAGGAAAGGAAGCCAAGTGGAGACCAGCTGCCGTTCTCGATGGAGGAGCTGCCCAGGGAGGATGGAAATGGTGGGTCAGAGGGCAGGGAGGGAGCAGGTGGCTCGACTCAGCAGAGTGGACCAGAGGCGAAGGGCAGCCCCCAAGGGGTCCCGCTGGTGGCTAGGAGCTCACCCCTATCAGACAGCTCCGAAGAAGGGAGTAGGAGGTCCTTAAAGGATGCATACCTGGAAGTGTGGAGGTTAGTTAGGGGAACCAAGTATATGAAGAAGGATTATTTGATAGAAAATGAGGAGTTACCCAGCCCCTGAAAGGGATGTGCATGTATGTACATATGTACATACAGTTATTTTATATATTAGAAATATTATAATGAGGGGGCTCCCACTTTTATTCTTTGGGGAGTAGGGAGAGGAAGCAGAGAAAGAAACTGAAAGGGACAGAGCAATACAATTAGCACCCATGTGAATTACATAGCTCAAATTTGCTTGTGTATCACAGAGGGAACAAAGATGTGAAGGTGCTTAACAAAGAGAAACAATGGTTTCGCTTCAACTCCTGACACATTTAGTTTTTGTCTTTATAACCATAACCAAATACCTGCATGTACCAAGAGTCCTTCAACCAACACCTCCGAAGATGATGACACTGCTTAATAAATTCAAAGATTACCCTCAGGGGCACGTTTTTGATGATAGAACTACAGTTGTTATTGCCAGCAGGGCAAAGAGTATATTGTTGAAATAACAGAAATAAATACACTAAATTAATGTTTACTGTTTAGAGTCATCTGAAATGTCATGTTTACTCTAATTTTTCTTCACTTGTTTTTAAAAAAATAAATGTTCTACTATTCTATATTGGTAGAAAATGAAGCTATTTTGACAATATGAGCTTTTCGCTTTGATTATGAAGTCTCAAGTTTGCTTTGAGTAATTGTAAAAATATTTTAAATGTTGTTTTGGTTTCTGGCTTTATAGTATTTATTATTGAATGCCATAGTCTTTGAAAAAGTCAGTTTTACTGTGTGATATTCTTTCCAGCAAATGCAATGGCTGAGATATAATTGTGTGTTGACTGCAGCCCAGCCAGAAGAGACACCCTCCTGTAAGCAATTCCAAGTCGCACTGCACATGTTACAAAAAGACCAGCTACTATATTCACATCATGATATTTTTCTATCTTAAATTTGTCAAAATAAAGTATGAGTCTGTTAAAAGATGTGTTGTTAGAAACCTATTTTGGACACATTTATGTCCTCTTGCTGCTGTCCGGTTCTTGTTCACCTTCATTGTGGGGTGTGCAGTCTCAGGAGAGCAGGCAGCAGCCTCCTGGGAACTTTCTAAGTTAACATGGCAGCGTGATTCCAAACAATCACAAGGACACATTTTTCCAATGAAGGAAACCATTACGAAGTGAAGGACTGTCTCATGCTGAGGGGTGAAAGCCATCCACAGTGGACATGGTGTTTGAGATGGAATAAATAGTAGCATCTTCGGAGGGGAAGCCCTCTGTGCACCCTGCAGGAGAGGTACTTTGTCAGTCAAGTGCTCTTAGTTGTCAGCATATTCTCAATACTCACACATGGTAGCATCTTATATTTTTCTTCCTTAATAATAATTTAAAAAAGCAAACATGAAATTTTGGCTCCATCACTTTGGTTCCACAAGCTGGTGAGCAAATATAATTGTGGCAATTTCTAATTGGTCCTGGCTAACTGGTTTTCACAGGCAATCAGTGGCTTCCATAGGTACCTAGGAGCCATTTGAGGTGCAGGAGCCCTCCCATGGCAGCATTTAGAAGTGGTTAGCCAGAATTATAATAACTTTTAAAAAATAGCCATTACTTCTAACTTCAGCTTGCCAGAGGGCAATGTACTTTTGCAACACTGTGAAGCTGAGAATTAATGAAAAGCAGCAAAGTTCAATGAAGTCTGGTTTTTTGTTATACCACTGTCAGATAAATGGATAGAATGATTGTTTTTCACTGAAAGAAATTCCCCTTTGATTACAAGTGTAAGTTGGCATTTATTACAAAAGATTAATTCTTGCCAACAGACTTGTAGAGGTGACATATTAGAGTTCTCCAGAAAAACAGAGAGAGATTTTAAGGAATGAATAGGAATTAGTGATTTTGGGGGTGGGAGAGTGTGAAATCTGTACCACTGGAAGCTCAGTCCCTGTGTTGTCTTGAGGCAGAATTCCCTCTTCTGAATCTTTGTCTGTAAGGCCTGCAACTGACCTGATGAGGCCCACCCACAGGGTAGAGGGTAATATGGCCGACTCCAAATCATTGTAAACATTAATTGCATCTTAGAAATGTGTCTTCACAGTGACATCTAGACTGCTGGGCATGGACGTAACCATCACAGACACCCATAGGTGGAGAGGACGAGAGGTGGTGTGAGATAGGGTAAGAAAAATCCAGGAAGACCAGCAATAGGAGTTCTGTCACATCCTTTCACTTGAAAAACACTTGGGAGTCTCTACAAATAATAAGGAAGCAAGTGGCAGGGCAAGCAGCACGTCAATGCTGGAGTTTGTTGCCAGAAAGTGCACACAGGTGGCAGACCTGGCCTGGCTTCTAAAGCCGTCCTCCACTGCATATAGCCCTGGGGCTGGCTCTGGTGTACCCTGACATTCAGCTCTGGCGTGGCCTCCTTGTGACGGGCAGGAAGGAGGGTATCACTGCGGGGATTCATCTGAAAGTCATTCACTATGGCTGCTTGGTTGATCCAGTCTTTGCATCTCATTTCTGGTGACTCAGAGTCTCCTTCTGAGATGACACTTCACCTTGTATCTAGCTGAGTTCCTGCCTCAATAATCTTTTCCTGCAGTTCTTCAGGACGGAGGACCTACCTGTCACTTCTCAGCTGGAACTGGTCTCAGAAACTAGCATGTCAGAGAGAGTCCAGTGCCGGCCTGCAGCTGGCCCCTTCCTCTGAAAGCTGTCTGACACTCTATTACTAATGGAGGATAGATCAGCCAGAAACTCTGGGGCAATGACTGCTCAGGCTGCAGAAATGAGAAGGTGTGTGCTGTTACTTGAGGTGGCTGAACAGTGGCCTAAAACCCTGCAAGACCAGCAATCATGCAAAAGCAGTTGCTTGTTGTCCTGGGGCCCACCTCTCTAAGTGATTCATAGCAACACTCGAGAAGACAAAACTGGGTGAAACTTACAAGTTGTTAGATGCCTGAAGACTTTTTGCATCTCAGTTTGGGAATATTTCTGATGGACTTAGTTTCAAGTTCATGGATTCATTCCTGTCTGCCGATGAGCTCATCAAAGACACTCTTCATTTCTATCCCATTTGGGTTGTTTTTTTTTTTTTTTTTTGGTCTAGTATTTCCTTTTGACTCTTCTATGAAACTTTTCAACTTTTTTTTAGTGCCCACATATGAATGAGAACGTGCAGTATTTATCTTTCTGTGCCTGGCTTATTTCACTTAACTCAATGTCCTCTAGTTCTATCTATGTTGCTTGCAAATGACAGGATTTCATTTTTTTAATGGATGAATGGTGTTCCACTGAGTATATGTATCACATTTTCTTTGTTGGTTCATCCATCAGTGGGCACCTTGGTTAATTCCTTATCTTGGCTATACAATCTTATTATGATGTGTCAGTCTTTTAGTGAACTTCTGTCTTGGGCTACCTCCTTCACAAGTATTTCTTAGCACACCTCTACTTCCCCGTGGATGGGACAGGAAGCTAAAGAGGCCTGAGGTGGGAGAACAGCTCTTCCTCCAGGAAAGCTAGGTTCTGGTGCAGCTTTGCCTCTAGAGAGTAGGCCTTTGTTATGGAGAATCCCCTGGGCACATTTCACAGTGATTACTCTTCCCCTTCTCTGCCAGAGCATAAGGGGATCTGTGGGGCTCCTGGAGATCAAACTTATGAAAATGTGGGTGCCTGCTACACTGTGTTCCCCGGGAATTTCTCATGCTCCTGATAATCCATATTCTATCTCCAGAATTTTGCTAAAATTATCATTTAACTATTTCTACCAGTTTTCAGCTCCAGTGGCTTCTGATCCAGGTAAGGGACTCTCAGTGTAACTTTCTGGATTCACCTGACTCTCTAGACTTAGAGGTGACAATTTGCCCCAAGACTTCAGTTTTCTAATGAGTCCAAGACAAGTCACTGACGTACAGTACATTCATCCTTTTTCTTGTAAGAATGAGAATAATAACTTCTGAGCTCTTTTTCTTCATGTTGGAACTAAAACCAGAAGTCTTGGGTGAAAACTTGAAAAGCCTGCTCTATTTCTATAAAAACAGAAGTTGTAAAGAGAAGTTAGAATCACTTATAAAATGTATATGTTATGATGTGTATCTAGATGTCCCTCCAAAGCTGCCGCAGGCCCAGCCTGAAGACGGCCCTTTGCATTCTCTTAACTTCCTTCCTCCCCACTACTCCCTTTCTCCTCCATAGATTAGATAATCAAACAGACTGTGCTGTGTATTGTTGTGCTTTTTGTAGACCCTGGATGGCACAGCCCCAGGCGACAGCTACACTATGTATCCTTCCCTGTTCCCTTCCTGCACATGCCCCGATGATGAAACAATCATGCTACATTTCATCTAGGCCACGTGGTATTATTTGCCCCGCCTTCTCTTCCTGATGCCTTCCACTATAAAGAGCGTGTGGGACTCCAGGTGGCCATTAGCTCCCAACATGCTATGGTTCCACCTGGTCCCAGATTTCAAGAATACTCTTGGTTTCTTCATTTTTCTTCATCTCCCACTGCTCTCCCTGGCTTCAGACCCTACGTTGTGTGCGTAGCGGCACAAAGCCTCATGCAGACATAGGTGGGGGTTTTTCAGGGGTGGCTGAATCTAGATTGTGTGATTGATTCATGGGGCAATGCTAGGATTAAGAGTGAGTGATTATTAAATCAGTCCACTGATTTGTTGGGCAATGCCCTAATCCCAATAGGCTGGATACAATATAAGGGATAGAAAGAGGCTTGTCTTGTCCTTTACTTGGTTGCTTTGCTACCTTCTGCCTGCCATGAACTATTTCTCCTCTGTGATACCTTTCTGCCTTGCCACCCTACCTTGGAGCCAGCCAATTATGGAGTGAAACCTCTACGACCTATGAGTTAAGTAAACCTATTCCTCTTTAACTGTGGGTGTCGGATATTTTATCTGAGCAATGAAAGAAAAGTAACTAAGAATTTGGCACCAGGGAAATAGGGTCATTGCTGTGACTGTACCTGACTATGTGATTTAGGAGACTTTGGAGCTGGCTTATGGGAAGGGGAAGAGTTAGGAAAGATTTGGAGATGCCAGCTGAAAAAGTAAAGCTGGAATGCCTTAGGCTGTATTTTATGGGAGATTCTGGTCAGAGCTCAGAAGACCAGAAGGCTGATAGAAACGAAGCCAGTAAACACAAGGCTCAGGAGGTTTCTGCTGGAAAGAAGAGCTTCATTGGCTGTTGGACTCCAGAACATGTGTGTTAGGCCTTGGCAGAAACTTTGTCTGCATTTTGCTCATGTCCAGAGACTGCCTGAGACTGAAATTAAGGGCAGCAGTCTAATCTTGTTGAAGAAACTTTAAGATGGTCTATTGTTGAGGCAGTGGCATGGCTACTGTTGAGTGCTTTTAGCCAGATTTATGTTGAGAATCAAGAGCAAAGAGCCCAGCATAATGATTCAAAAGACTTTGAGATTGTCCAGTATGGAAGCTCCAGTAAAGTTGAGGCCTGATGGAACAGAGGAGAAATTGGCCACTGAAAAGATAAGAAAGAAAAAGCCCAGTATTTCAGAAGAAGACAATAGAAAAGGTGGCCTGAGGACATCACAAGAACAAGCAGAACTCCATCCTTTGTAGCCTCAGAGTTTCAAAGGTGAAAGACTTTGCTTTGAGAAAAGAGTCCCAGAGCACCATGTTCCAGAATGGCAGTGGAATAGGGTAGTTGTTCCTCAGGATTTTGTTCATAGGCACTGGACCTCTACAGCCAAGAGAGAAGGAAGACTCACTACTGTTCCAGCTGGTAGTAGGCCTTGGCATCATCCACATGGTGCTGTTTTAGGCACATGCAGAATGCAAGAGTTATGGGGTCAGGAAGGCTTCCACCCAGATTTCAGAAAAAGGCCTGGGAGGCCAGGCAAGGTGTCCCCAAGAGGGCAGTGCATGAAACTGTGGTTGTAAAGCTGAAGGTGCAGTGGAGACCCCAGAAGTTTGCAGAAGCCTGGAACATGGACCATCTGAGGAAAAC